ACCATATTCATGGCCTAATTGCGTTCTGCTTCTACTTCTATGTGGTTTCTTTTTCTTGATAATAGCGTACATCGATAACATGCAGTTATTGTCGGTCGGGATCATGCGAATCATACTTTTTCGGCACTTACCCGCTTTGTTAAATAATTTATACTAAAATGTGATTCATGACCAGTTTTCGGGATAAAACCTTGATTTGGAAGAATATATATATATATATATAATGTATATATACAGAGAGAGAGAGAGAGTAAGCTTCGCGATAGCGGAATCCAGCCCTGATGAACTTCCCTCAAGGGATGGGGGGTTGGCGGAGAGAAGGATTAACAACTCAATTATCCGTCTACTCAAGGGTTTGGATGTCTGCTTGTTCGTATTATATGTGACGATTCAAGAAAACGTATTTGAAACGCCATCCAATGTGAAATGGCATCGTCGCTCCACGCTACCGATTGTTCATGAGGAATGTCAAATCCTGCTACTGACTAGTTCCAGGCGTTAGGATGTTACGGCTGCTCAATGGTTAATTCAGGTTATGTCATCCGCTTTACGAGAAACTGATTAGGTCCAGACATCTCCCCCAACAATCTTTGTTGTTTCACATTCTCTTTTACTGTTGATATTAATAGCACTTTGTAACCATGGTGGGTTTTATCTAACCAGATTACTGATATGCTAAAGTATAAAGTTCCTCACATGTCCTAGAATGTTCATTGCAGAGGACTCCAAAACTTTCTCCCGTATTAAATATACACATGTTCCAATACTGCGGCAGACTATACTATGAGCGAATTTTTCATCTAACAAATTTTAGAATGAACGATAGTGTATATTAATGCTTTTATCTCATGACGTTTCCTCTTTGGGCCGCACATTATCAGGCAATGGGTGTTTTTCTCGTAAGTGGTAAGAAGAAGCAGTCTAACAGGATACAACACTTGGAGTGGTATAGTGAAATGGATGCAGATGGTATTTGAGAACACAAGTGTAGCATAATTTGCAAATCGCGAGATATAAGTGGGGCGACAGTCCGTTTTGGTTCTTTGTCACAGTATGCCTGGCGCGTTCAATGGACTGCTTGTGGATTGATGTCTGCTGCGTATGGGGGAGTCGGATCCAGGATCCTAGTGTTATATACCACTTAGGTACTCCATAGTTGTCTTCGAGGTTCTTCCTCCGCAAGTCAGATCATGACGAAGCCCGTTCAGTAGACTGGCGTGGTTTGGGCATTGTACTGAATAATACAACAGGGCGAACTACTCGATTGGATTCCCGATAACAGTCGCTTACGTGCGATGCGGCTTCAAAGGTCTATCAGCGTCCGGAAGGTAAGCAACACTAAAAGGTGTTTGCTTATCGTATCAGCATATGCACCGACCAATTGCAGTTCACATGCACAAGAGGACGCTTTCTACGATGAACCCACCGATCTCATTCCGATGAGTCGAAGCTCCGACAGTTGTACTTACAGGTGACTTCAACGCGCAATTTGGAAAACTGAGCGCATCAGAAGCTTGCCTAGGCGATAGTTCTGCTCTGCCCTGCCAACGAACGGATAACTGCGATCGACTTCTTCAGTTCTGCACAGACCATCATCTGTTCCTATCCAGCACCAACTTCGGACACAGCTCTCGACGGACAGCAACGTGGCGCTCCGGTTCAACTGGTACGCTAACTCAAATCGACCACAGCGCAGTAAGTTACCGTTGGCGTGGCTCTGCAAAATTACAGGTCCTATTGGACCACCTGCGTTGAGTCTGACCACGCATTAGTTCCGATG